CAAAATCATCGTAAGCAAACCATTATGTGGACAATGGATAATGCCTAGTATTTTCCTGCGAAATAAACTGTGCCTTTTCCACCAGGCGATAGTTAACTTGTTGTTGCTCGTTAACCAACCAGCACGTACTTTGGCCTTACCTTCATGCACAACGCGTTCGTCTTCATTACCAGGTTTTAAATGATCTTCTAGGCACTGAGGTAACTTTCAGCACAGTGCCCCGATTGACGAAATCAGATTATGGTTGGTTGACCGATGCTAATCTAGTCCTTCGACTCCCGGCTGTGATCCCCATGCCATCAAACTCCAACCGTTTTTCAGCGGCAGTTTGACTCACTCATAAGGTACCCTAGATTGGTAACAACTCTGTGCCGAAGCGTGTCACACCTGCAACGGCATCTGGGATCTGCACCTGGCAAGTAAACTCACAGTCCACTTATGTTCATTTTCTACTCTCTATTCAATTGATATATAATTCTGACAGTCTGCAATCTTCTTGAAATTTAGAAGCTCGAAATACTTTAAACAGTTTCTAATGTAAGTCAGAATATCACCGTAGACTTAAAAACTAAAAAAAGATCTATATCTTTCGGGAACCAACCAAATACTTAAAAGAGGGCTTATTCCCCGAAGCAGTGTATGTCATAATCGGCGGTTTTTTCTTCAGGCGAAATTAAGGACTGCATCCGAAAGGCAGTTTCTGAGACTTAATTGTAGTTCCGCTGGTCACCAAACAGGGTTCGATGTGCAAAACAAATGAATAATGATCAGATAATGAGAAAACTTTTTCAAAGTGGCTACCAACTTCGTACATAGACTAACTGGTCGTTTTATGCCATGTGATTCGCCTCAAAACTGGGTGAGCATTTTTGAGAAACAACGTTGCTTATGAATTCGTTTATGACTTCGTCTGCACTGGTAGGTCGACAAGCTGCATCGGAAGTTCAAAATTGTTTACATTTGAACGTCCAAAATGAGTGGTTGTCGTTGTTAATTCATAAGATACAATAACAAAAGCATACGGCACACTCCGTTGGAACCACCGATTCCGGTAAAAACATTGAGTTAGTGTTGTACCTGCATCCCGAACTGGCCTAGCCTGAGATTGCACCTGTTCGACCCGACTTTGTTAGGCACGGCACATTTGTAGTTCATGTCTATTAAACAAAGTGCTGTCAGCCTTTGTCAAAAATTCTCGCTAACCCTACAGACAGCGCAAATTTATTGTTTCGGGCTGTTGTGTGCCGCGCGGCGGTTATTTAGGGTCATAGCCGTGGTGCCCCGGTCGCAGACACATTTGGGCCAAGGTGATGAAGTAATGGCGAAAATGCATACAGGTAGTCTGGCAGGTGAACTTAGTCAGGGAGGAACCAACTGTAACCAGGCAACCAGAATGCCGTACCTCAGTCAAATATATTTCGGAGAAGTGAACAAAGCTCCGACAAAAGAAGATCCTATGGGGTACCGAAAACCGATGATATAATATCTCTGTTCTTAACCTAAACTACAGTATCTCCCAGACAGTATTAGACATGGAAACCATAAAACAAAAGAACGGTTATAAGAAAGCAAGGCATTTTGCGCACGTCTAAGGATTAGTAGCCCAGTCTCGTCTAACCATGTCCAAGAGAGCATAAAAACAACCTCTGTTAACACAAAGTTGATAGGAACCCCTCCTCAGCAAATGTTAGAATTCGAGGCTTGTGACCTTCACCCATGACTTTCCTGAACGAACATTAAACCAATATGGTGCGGAACTGAGTGTATTTGGCGAAAGTATGTCAGTTAACCTTTAAGATGGTCTTTGCTAAGCGACGAACTTGCTGTTCTGCTCAATGTTCGGTTAGTCTGTTTAGAAAACTGTGGAGCGACCCATCTTTGTGAATACACCATTTGTTGAAATAGTAGACACCATCTGTTAGACTTGTGTATGCAATGTTTGATGAAGTTTGCACGTACTGACTTCTTGATGGACCGTGAGCTCGGCAAACGATGGCTTAAAATGCCAGCGGTTTTACAAGTTTGTCTTGGAACCACCACGAGCTACTAATTTACAGTTGACAGTGTTGTCTCCATAGAGGTCACTATAAGTCAGATCGCTTTTCCTCTGGTCATATGAAGAATCGGTAGTCGGGGGCTGACGAATCATCTTAGACTGTAGTTGAAAAACTACTTTTCAGTGAGCAATTGGGTTTCAGAATCCATAGCATTCTATCAGTCTATTTTAAACGCGCGATAAAGAAGAATCGTTACCAGGGTTTGTTGTCGCTTTGAAAATGATAAAGTGATCAGATAGCGAGGGGTAGGATCACTGGTGCGCGAGTGACTGCGTGAGAACTGCAGCTGATCACCAGAACAAAAACGTTTTGACTGGTGCACAAACACGGCTCAAGCAGAGACCGAATGAATTAATCAATAGACGCAAATACAACACGGGTTTATGCGCATGTGCGTATCTGATTAAATGGGGTAAAATGAAGGCCAAATTCCAGATTCACAAATGTGAACTCCAGAAACTGGAATGTGTAATTTTATTGCCCTCACCCAATCTGACCAACTCCCATTTGTATCGAGAGTTTGGTTCCTCTTGAACAGAAGTAGTACAACCACTAGATGACTACTGATGTAATCTATTGGGTTCTTGATTGGCTGGGCATACCTTTTGAAGAGGTTGTTTCTGTTTTAGCAATTGCCAGAGAGGATTTAGCTTATTCCACGCATACAAGAAATCCTTGCTTAACAGCAGTGTGAATCCTCCAATTCAGGACCAGCAACCATCACGAAGTATTTATCCTGTTGACGAGATGTAAAGCTTCGACACACATACATATACATGGCAAAGTCAACAGTTCTAGATTAACTCCTACCCATTTTCAAAACACTTTACCCGCTTGAAATCCCTTTGGATCCCGACTGCCCAACAGATAAACCTTAGTAGATGTTAAACTGAACTTACTAGTCTCATATGCTCAACAGGGAACATGTATAGCCTGAATCCTGTCTCAGTGCAATACGGGTGTCTTTTTGTTCACGCGATGCCTCAGGATGACAAAATAGAGTTTTTATAGCTCACTGCTACAGGCGATGGATGAGTGCATGTGAAAAAGGGTTTCGCAGGTCTGTTGATCAAGCTGAGTCACCGAACCAGTGGGATAGCCAAGAATTGGAATTCTTCGTCATAAACCAGTTAAGCTATCGGCAAAGCTGGCAGCGCATTTATGCTACCAAATCTATTTTGTTTGGTTCTGAGATATGTGCTTGTGGGTTAACAATCCTGAGGAGAATTCCCATGCGCTTTTCCGGTTAAAAGCAATTCTGTGCTACTTACTGTCCCCCGACTGTGCGGTGGGACGTAGAGCATCGAACAAACGGCGGAAATTGGGGCCCATGTGTTCATCACAATCAGTTTGGTACGGAAAAGATTAAGGGAATACCGAATGGAGAGGAAAATTTCGTAGTTGGTGAGAAGCCGTAGGAGGTAGTACTAATGCCTGTTAGCATCGTTGTGTTAGGTCGGACCGAAAGACGAGGAGGCAGAATTCGCGTGTCTTAATTGGTGTTTGCCTAAGAACAGGAACAGCCGTTTAGTGCGTAGAACACCAAGTGGTTGTACACTAAGCTCAAAGAGCACGGCAAGTCAAAATCTTATAAATGTGATTAAGGAACGCATGGAATGTGCGAGAACCTGGATCACATCATTAGGCACGCCCTTACAGGCTAGCTTAGATAATGCTTTTTCGGATGATAATGGTAACCCAGCGCTCACAATGCGGGAAGAGTTTTCTCTTGATGAGCTCCAGCAGGATTTTTGTGGGACAAGTTCTTTGGAAAAGAAATTATCGATCCATGTGGCTGCCTGTTAGATCAACTGTAAGTCACTTTCCTGGTCCTACGTTTGTAGATACTAATGTCCAAAGATGAATGCGCTTAGAATCGTTTCCTGGCCTACTGACGGTTAGCGATAGAATTGAACACTATGTGCTCGTGGGGGGGTTGACTAGATAATCGTTTAGATTAGCTACTGACAACAAATTTTTAAAAATTATGCCCTCTCCAGCTATGCCAAGCGATGTAGGGGCTTGAGGAATTTCGTCTATAGGTAAGTCTGGTATAAAAAGCGATTGTTCCACAATATATTGGAGTTTCGGGTCGTGTGGTTCCAATTTAATCTTCAGTCACACAATGTTTTTGGTCGGGATTTCTAATTTCACATTATTACAGCGAAATCACGAAGTGACTGGGAAAGAAAACCCAACTTTCACATATAACAATTTCAGTGTGCTACTACACAGCAAGTGAGTGTGTTCAATGAAGCAAAATAAACGACCATGCAGCCATCAGTCAGCATCTTCGAAATGGCCTAGGTCCTGTGGCGATGCTTCCTTGTTATTTATTTCGTCACTTCAGTTAAAACCTTTGAAATCTAGGCATACTTTGACGATTTACCGGAATTAGATGGCCGTATACGGGAATAACCTGAGCTTAGAGGAGGGAATAAGTAGCTAACGGTTACGTGGCTTGGTACGTGTGACACGGAAACGAGGACTTCTAGTGGGTGGTGTGCTTGGCGAAGGCACTCAGATCAACTAGCAAGGACGGTTTGGCTACTTCCGTTCCATACTCTCCCACCAAATATGTGAATGGATATTTCGGCCGGATAAAGGTGAGGTCTCAGTAGATCGATAGCGGCACTTCGCTACGAGCAGACAGAACACAGTCAATTTGGACAATTCTTGAAAGTGTGCTTGGATAAAATTAATTTACAGGAGTGATAGTTCCACAGAAATGAAGAAAAAATAGTTCATACCGTTAACGACAAGACAACAACTCGCGAAACCGATGACCCTGTGCATTGGCGGATTGAAGATAAGTGAGGTTTTGAAGGATTAAAGAAATTCACATGTCAGCGTTTTTCGTTTCGGTTTCAATAAACTGTAAGACAGATGAGGCTCGCTTTGTAGGAAATCGATCGCCTATGCATTGAGGTATTTTTAATCAAGTTAGGAGGGTAAATCAACAGAATTTTGTTTCGCAAACAACTGAAAAGGTATGGTTGATGTCGAGTGTGGAATGAAAGACTGGTTTCCGGGTGATCCGAAAAGGTCCACCATCGGTCCCGGAACTGAATGGGTGAAATGAGGAAAGGTTGTGGAACCACAGAGGGGCTTTGACGCTGGGTAGGTATTGTAAAACGCTGCATAGTCATTATCGGGGTCGGTTCCAAAACCCGGTCGGAAATGATTTGACTGGAAGTGCACAGAACTGGGTAGAACACAATCTGGAGAACTTATGCTATCTCCTCCGAATAGTTGAGAGCATGAGTTTGTACTCAATGACGTGGTTCGGCAGCTGGAATTTAAATAAGTACTCGCTCCAGAAATGGCACAGACTGAGCTTTCGTTGAATAACTGTGCGTTCTTGTAGTTTCGCTTTTCATCTGCTTGAACATAAGGATCCACACAATGTGCTGATACCGAAGTGTTCGAGGGATCCTCCAGACTAAACGGTCGCCCGTAAAGTGTATCATGCTCAGCTAACTGAGGTGCTACCACGGGAGTCACGTAGCTCTCAAATGTTGTTGGATATGGATAGTTTCCTTCATGTGTGTAGTGCCTTATCCCAAACGCCGAAATGTCCACAAATGGGAACCGCTGGGCAATGGAACAACGGTTTTGAGAGTAGTTGGTTGCTGGATCAAACGCTTGTGATACTGAGTACTTTTGGCGTTCTGATGATTCCGAATCAACCAGACTTTTGACCTCATTCGGTTCTATTCTGTCGGTCACGCCGAGCTCTCCGTCAAAAGAGAGACACTGTCGAAGAAAGGCATCTTGAGAAATTCCCAACAGTCCTGAATTAGGGGAGTGAAAGCGATTTGAATAAACCGAGCTCTCCGTGATGACCGAGTTGGAATTATAGGTGGATAGTGGTGGTTGACATATGGTAATGCTGGTGGGTACAGATCCAGAAAACAATTTTTGGGCCGCCACACTTTCGAAAGTGTTTGAAGAGTACTCACTGTCCTTCAAGTGAGAAATTGAATGTGGGAGTGAATTAAGACTGGGATGTTGATAACTTGCTTTGAAAATATCTTGGTCACGCAGGGTTGCGTTAACTACGTTATTTTGCCAACCTGGGGTACTGGTTAGAGCAGCACATGCCTTCTCGGAATCACCAATATGTTGACACATTTGTATCTGTGTTGCTGTGCTAGGTTGGGTACTCGATTCGACAAGGTGTTGTTTACTCCATTGGTCATCTGGCGTTCCTCTTTGTGAAATGGACTGGTTTTCTTGTAAATTCTGTCTTTCCTCACTTTGTGCAACGCAGCTGCGCAACATTTGGTTCATGAAATCCAGATTTTTGTTTTGCAGTAATGATGCTGTAATTTCTGTGTCCCCGACAAATCGCTCTGTTTGAGAAAGTCTCCGGCCCAACTCTGGAGAAACCCTACCCAATCCGTGTAGAGCACAAGAAAGTGGAACCGATTTAGACGGCGATTGTGGTAACATAGAGTTAAGTAACATCTTTCCTTCGGCAAATCTTATCATATCCAATTTTTTCATGGATTCATCCTTGCTTTGCTCTTTTCCTCGACCATCGGTGAATTGAATATCGTCATTGTCTCCGTCGGAATGGGACGCATGCCTGTAAAATGGAGGAGAAGCTTCTCGGTGTGTAGCATTCGCGTCCAGATAGTGCTGCGAATCCTCACCGCTGCCTGACAAATCATCAACTTCCAGCCCAACGTCAAACCCTTCTTTTGTGATCATGTCACCATCGGTTTCCGAAAAATTCCCTGAAACACCGCCGCATCCACCGACGCTGGGATTACGCGACTGAAGTTTCTTCTTTTTCATTCTTCTGTTTTGAAACCAAACTTTCACCTGTTGAGGGAGAAAGATTTCGTAGCTACATATTTATCATGAAGATCTAAATATTAGCCGAAGGATAATGGAGAACTTGTGTATGGCTAACAGATGACAAAGGAACCTGCTCTTATTTCTTTCATTACCACTTTTTGATCCGTTAACTTACCAGGGATTCGTAACAGAAAGAACAGAAAGATGCCAATGAGTATGGTAATATATAAGAGAATACAAAAAATAAAATGAAATTACCTTAATGGTGCATTATCATACCATATCTCATCACACCATCATAACCCTTTTGGAAACAAGGTTTCGCATTTGTCCTTTTCACGGTGAGTCTGGCAGAAAATCCTATTTCTCAGCCTTATCGAGTGAACAAAAAGTTACTGAAGTACACGTATGTAAGCCGGCCTGTTGACTTTTCTCTTGGTTTAAGGACTATCAAGCGGACAAAACCAATGGTTTGAATTGTGCGTTGGAATGGTGAGTATAAAAGCTTAATTTAATGGTCTAATTGCTCATATGGGTCTGAAAACGTTCAAGAGTTGAAGAGGGAGCTTATAAATTCACTGGATCCTTTCAGCATGATCTTCACGTTTGGTGTCCGATCATCTCTTGTAGAAGTAATCAGGCTAAAAGATGAGCTAAATCACGCAGAAGCCTGGGCAGTAATTGCTGGACTGTTTAGTGTTTACCACTATGTGGGTTACAATTTCTTACCACAAGTAATCGTAATCTTGATTTCGAAGGTGAAAACCTTCGCATCCTAAATGAATGTGACTAAAGGGCAAAGGAACACCCATGGAAACTGCAGATAGAGGATAACTGGTAAAATCCCTCTGATGTTCTGCCTCCTTCTAGACGAGGAAAACCCGGAAGAAGTCACCTCCTACAGCTGTGCTCCTGTCTGAATTTTCTATACGAAGGAAGAAGGTCGTTAATTGGTGAGGGTCCAAAGTACGGTTCAGCGCTGGATCCAAGTGACACAGATGGATGCCTTGAGCTTGGGTTGAAACCCGGAAGAAGTCGCCTCCTACAGCTGTGCTCCTGTCTGAATTCTTTATACGAAGGAAGAAGGTCGTTAATGGGTGAGGGCCCAAAGTACGGTTCAGCGCTGGATCCAAATGACACAGATGGATGCCTTGAGCTTGGGTTGTGCATTTGAACACTACAATATCTTCTTGGACATCTTCCTTATTCTTGGAGTAGAAAGTGTCTAGACCTCACCGTGCTGTGACGGTTTGAATACTTAGGTGACCCACTGAACTATACTGCTTGGCAATCGCAGTCTGTCACGCCAGAATGGTCAATGGTTAGAGGTCTGACGAACACAGTCTCCTAGTCCTCCAGGTTGGAGCATGTGTGGCGACTTGTTCTGTAAAAATTGAGATGCATTTGCATCTCCCGCCAAACACCGCTGCCTTGCGGCCAGGTTTTTAGCCAAAGCCTTTGGTTTGGGACCCTAATCTTCCTACTGTCCAGGTGTTGGTGCCCCGTTAGTTTCGCAGTCCACCTACAACCATGAACTGCACACATACGAAAATAAAGGTTGTACGGCGGCGAAACAGCAGTATTGAGCACTGATGTAACGCTGTCGATGATGATGATGATGATGATAATGATAATGATGATGTCGAAGAAAGTTTCGGCAATCCAAACGTTATTTGCACTGGTAAGGAAACCAAACAAAAGGTCATGCGTTCAAGTCGGAAAAGAATAGATTAGTTTGTAGAGACGTTTACACACCATCTCCCTGACTCGGAAATGCGGGCCGAGGCCAGTAAGGATTTAACCTTGGTCCATCTCTTCCCGTTACTAATCACTAGTGTGTCGAACACAGTGGCATATCTGATGAAAGTCTTGTTAAGGAAACCAAACAAAAGGTCATGCGCTCAAGTCGGAAAACAATAGATTATTTGTAGAGACTTTTACACACCATCTCCCTGACTCGGAAGTGCGGGCCGAGGCCAGTAAGGATATAACCTTGGTCCATCTCTTTCCGTTACTAATCACACAGTGGCATATCTGATGAAAGTCTTGTTTTCCTCTGTTTTGAATCATAGGAAATATTTGAGCAAAACAAAATGCTGTCAAGTTTTAACAGCAACTTAACACGTTGCTGTCTGCTACGAAAATTTCGGAAAGGTAGAAATATCTGACAATTTTGCACTACAGATTGTTCTAGTGTGCAGATGAATAACAGTGAGGCCCCTAACACTCAGAGAGATTGTAAGGTTTGCACAATGCTTACATTTGTTTGCAATGATGCTGACAAGTGAGTGGTAGGTTGCCCACGAAAAAGTCGTTCAAAAAGTATAAGGTCAAAGTTGGCGCTTGGTAAATTGAAAAGCATATTGCAGAGCAAAGTTGGGGTATATACACTGAATAAGCTCCGGTTCCCACGAATCCGTTCACCCAAAGCAATGGTCCGGCCACGACCCAGAGACCACTATATTCCAGTTTTGCCAAACTTACCACTTGGGCGTATTACCGGACCCTTTAAAATAGGTGGGATGGTTGGACGGTAGTGGATCTAATGGTTGTAATCAGCGCTAGAAACATTTCAAAGTGTGGTTTGACCTAACTGGTCAACAAAAGTTCATTTGTTTGACTGCGACTTCGGGTGAATTTGTCCAGGTCCCTAGATGGTTACCTCATGGTAAGTGAAGCGCCCTTATCCCCTGAGACAAAGTGTGGGTCGTTCCAGTCCGTCGAAGAGACTCCACAAACTTTGCTCACTGGTATAAAGCTATTAAGGGTAGTCTAAATGGCTGAGTGTCTTTGGAAAACAGTATGGATAAAAAAGAACATTCCACTTTTTGCCCGCTAGAAATCGTATACATTTAAGGTTTCAGACGGCCATTGAAGGCTTATGGTCATACTGTCAAGTTGCCTTCGAGTACAAGGAGTGTATGATTTGCCATTTATGTCTGATTCGGTTTATCACGAAGTTCTCGGTTAGACGTTTGTTTTCCGTGATGGTAGGACAAGTGGAGGACGATCTAAGCTGTTTAGAGGAAGGTGAGACAACGAATGAGGTGAAATAGCAGAACGAATAAATGGCTACGGATAAAATCCCACTGTACCCGCTTCAGCTGGTGACAAAGTGAGCATTTTGTTCCCAACTAGCATACACGTTCAATCAACACAATAGGATTGTTGTTTTCCACTGTGCTGAACAGACAACGCTCATCGATTAGACAGCTGTATGGCCACTAGATTTCAGAGGTTGGATGCACCGCTCCCCTTCGTGCTTGTTCTTTTCCGTGAAAACGCCTGCAATCCTAGTTGGTTTTGATTCTCATACGTTGTGTAATTTAAACCATTTATCGGTTTGCCTGAACCAAGCTCAATTTCGGTCCATATACCTATGACGCATTGGTTAGCTAGACAGTGTAGCATCAATAAGTTAACCTTTTTCATGTTGTTTTGTTTTGAGTGTGACTACAGGAATTTTCGTAACAGAAGAAATAAGGATGTTGAGTCAAAAACTAAACAAAGAGTACGACTTATTTGCAGCTGTGCTGCAGAAAAATTTCGACTGCTTAAAAAATTATACCTTGAACTTAAAATGCAAATTAAACCAGGGGATTTTGTTAAGTCATTCCTATAGTAAATTCCGCTAGAAGCCACTAGGTTGTCAGGCCTCATGGTCGGTGTAGTATTTAAGAGCTGGTTTATGCATGAGTAAAGCCAGTTGAGCTGTAAATATTTAAACTGTCCTCAACGGCCAATAACGTCATACCATCTTTCACCTTGTACACACCTGTTTCCTCTATTTCAGTGCATAGAAACCGAAGTACCATATCTTGTAAGCGATTTAAAAAACCACAAGACTAAGACATCCCTAAAAAGGGTGAAATTCCGCTCAGCTAATGATTTAACATTTATGGCACGAGAACAAGACATCTGAGGGAAACAGATCTTGATGCGCGAGTAAGCCATTTTAAGCCGAAATTACACGTTTCCCGCTTGCTTTTACAAAAATGCAGGAGGACTGAGGAAATTCTGTGCTGAATTCGGATGTCAGAAGTTTGTCTTCTGATTTATTAATGGCATGCAAGCAGTGAGTGATCATTGGACTTAGAAACCGGAATAAGAAAAGTAAGATCACTTTATGCCTTACTTTGGTCTTTCCACTCTTCCTTTTTTTTCACCACTTTCAACAATCCTATCAAAGGAACACTCTGAACCTCTTTGATGAACTTAAAATTTGGACTGGCTAGGAAGAGGTATCATTCAAACCTTCATTTCACTGTTGAGTAAACTGTATCACAGGGAACAAAAAACCACCTTTTTTCTGCAATTTAATTACCCGACTTTACCGTAGGGTATTTCATAATTCCTTCAAAGCGTTCCAAAATTTCTGGCCCAGTACAATAATATGGTTTGCGGGAAAATCATTAGATGAGAATGGGGTATTTTTTAACAAAATATGACGTTTATCATGCCAAGTTTTGCAATAGGCTGTGTGCCGGAAAGACTAAATATCTCGGTCTGTCACACTTTTCATGATCGCCGTAGATGCTGAAAAGTTGTGCCGTTCACCCTCCCCGTGTTCCCGTCCTATCACAATTGCTGAGGGCCAGTATCAGATGATTGCATGCATGTTTCGTCAACCACTGCGCAATCGTCAATGCGGGCTAATTTGATGGTGGTTTGTGGAAAGTTGTCAATTGTTGTGTCGTTGTTTGTGTGCGTAATTGCTCAAGTGTTCATGCTTAATTCAACAGGGACATCGAAAGTCAGGCTTTGCTCATGGAGCCGCTCAATGCTTCAACAAGTTGGATGCTCATTACACTGTGAACAAGGAATGGAAACACGTCCATGGCTGGTTCGAAGATGCTGCCGGCCACCATCAGAATAAGCTATTTTCTATGCTCATCTGGAATTTCACCGTACGGTCGCCTCTCCCAGTGTCCAAAAGTTGAACGCGGAATAAACTTTTGAGAAATGAATAGGATAAACAGGTTCTAAACTTTCTTGCAAAGCAGGATTATAGTTTAGCGAAATACATTCATTTGCAAACAAATTTGGTATTGCGAGACACTCACCTAGAACCCAGATGAATCTCTCGTATATGATGTGTATGATGGATAAAGAACCTCGAAAGCTGTCACAGACCTTAATAGCCACCTTTTCAGTGAGGTACGCCCACATCAATATACGTTATTCTACCCAGAATAAAAGAGAATTTTAATTAGTGTACCGTACAGTCCATATAGCCTTGTTGGATTTTGACTTGATTTTAAAAGATCGGCAAACAACAGCAGCCATTGCACCATTTGACCGTTTGACAGACTCATAAGGTTTTCTTGAGGGAAGCCTTATCAAGCAAAAGACATTTCTGGGGCTAACCACGAACCAGCGTCCTTTTGCTTGCTTTATGTGAGCTTAGAAACCGAGGATACTACATCAAGTCCCAAAGACACACTGGCTCATAATCAAGGTAGACTTCTAATGTACAGTAAATCTTGAGTTCATTTTCGATCAGATTTTTATGGAAACGTGATAGACCCCGTTGTATATGTGAGGCATATGAGAAGAAGACTTAACTGGTGTTTGATTGCAAAAGTTTGCGGTCCATGGGTATCCGAACGCTGATGGTGTAGAATTCGACCGCCTTATTGGTAGCCGCCCGTTGGTTTGTGGTGTCTCAGCGATAAGCTGTGATTCCGCTGTGATCACAGCAATATCCCACCAAGAGTATTCAAGTGAACCATCTAAAGTCGAGTGTGGGACTTGTATTAACCGGGTGCTAACTTACTCAGGTCGACGTCTACATAAAATGAATGGTCACAAAGTTTACCTCATTAGACACTCGTCGATCGTCGTAGCTTAGAATTCAGCCACATGTATTTAATAAATCTATGACTGGATTGTGTAAAATCAAGAAAAACACGTGGCCCATTTGCTCGTTGTTTCCGGAGGCATCGTGCTCCCCGCGACTATCGAGCGAAACTGGAAGTAGCAGCAGGGGATGAAAATAATCTGATGTTGTGTGCTTCAAATTTTCGGCGAATGCGACTACTAATCATTGGTTAGTGGCTATCGGACGCAGCTTTTTATGCTCTTCAAGGAGGACGTGTTAGTTACCAAACCATGAAAGTATAATTTTAAGCCTGATAACTGTAAAACATGAAGACAGTATTGTGAAAACAGTCCGTTACTTGCCTATTCCCTGATTTCGATCACCGGGGTGACCTTCGAGTTCAGCTTTCAGACTCTTAACCCTAGCATATTTGGAATCAAGCTTTTTTCCGGTTCAGGAGGCGCATCGAACTTCGTTGAGAATCTGACTACTGGTGAATTGTCAGGGTTGTTTCTATGACTGACGGCTAAATCCGTCGGCTGAATCCAGATCAAGACGAAACTCGTGATGGACTGCTTCTCCATGACCGACCACTTGTGGTATATAAGTGTGCATCGTTGCCAGTGGTAACCAGAACCTTAAGATTTTCGGCTTAAATTCACAGGTGCTGTTAAATTTCCAGACCTTATCACACAGTTAGACCTTTAGATTCCTTGTCACACTAGAGGTTACAGGCGCCTTATGATGGCAGTTGAAGGGAATTCTATCGGTTAATCACAAGAAAACAAGCACATGACCATCGCATCCAAAGGTTCAGTGAAATTGTATCCCACTACTGGCCTCAGATACCGCCTATGCATGACTCATTCTAACTTCTGTTGGTGAAATTAGCTGTAATAGAAGCTCACACCTTAGTGGAGGAGAGGTGAGAGGCACAGCACCGATTGGGTGTCCAGTCAGTCGATTTGTCACGCATGGATAAAGTTATCATGAAGTATCATGCACACACATTCTGCCAACCAGGTCATTTTGTCCTGCTTATCGCTGACACAGATTATGGCGCGTAAGCTAATCGCGAAGGACGAACTCGCACCACTGCTTGTTTAGCCTGGTCTGTGTTCTGCCGCGTGAATCAATGCGCAACTGGTAGCCGAGTCGTACCGGTAGCGTTTGTGGGTTACAACTATAGTCAATTAACCAGGATAAACGTCGTTGCTTTCAATCGTGAGCAGCGATGTTCCTGAGGCAAGACTTCTATGTGCTTCCAACAAATCCACGATTGTTACAGGCTTTTCAGCCTGTTGAAAATAAAATATGGATACGGTTTTCCACGAACCAACAGTTTGCAATAAGTTTGCGACCAGTTATTGTGGGCAGCATGGGGAACCTCCCTATGAAAATAATAAATCATCATGTTTTAGGGGAGCAGGATTGCCCAATGGTTAGACCGGGAATTTGCTGACCGGAAGGTTCGTGTTTCGAACGCGAGCACCGCATATCGACTTCTCCTGTCCAGGCTTGGGCAACCTGGGAGTATCCCTGCCCTAGTTCTTCCTTCTGGTGACATGGCAACTAAGCACCGAGAGAGCATTAAAGCTGGACGATTATTTTATTATTATTATCATCTTGTTACACTCAGGAGGGCACAACTACTGACAGTCTGCCAAAACAGATGCAACTAAATCGTTTGGGCGAACTACGGACTTCCCGGCTAGAAACCCTCTCACCACCTCGAAATCCTTGAAGTTGGTAGTTTTAAATGACCTTACGTACGGTGCATTTTTGTAGCACGTGAAGCACCGGCCTGATAAAACGTCTGATCCATCATTTGTCTTCTTTCCTATCACAAGTGTCTGCCATTTTGAACTTTCAACTCAAGTGGCTCTTTCCAAGCCGGTCTGTCCGTGCTTTGAAGCATTATTAACACCGAAGCACATGAAACCCGGTTTAATTCCTAATGCTCGGAATTCCACTGTGAGCTGTGGATGATAGTAAAATTCCAGTTAATTGAAATGTACGTCATCTACTCTTTATGACTGGTTATCTCTAGCTATTAACTGTTGTAAAATCAGAACCTGGAAAGGCACGTACTCGGACCGATTATGATTTTGAGTGAAACTGCTTTGCTTTTCCACTGGCCGAAGAATTTTCCCACACAAACTCTATTTGAAAAGCGATAGTGGTAGTTGGCTTACTGCAGGCGGATTCGCTGACTTTTGGACCACTTAAAAGCCTTATTGTTTTCAACCGAACAATCGAACGGAGGAATTATTGTTTAAGCTGACAGCTCTGGGACGAAAGAATCGGGTTGCAGTTGTACAATATGCAAGCTTCGCTCAAACGTACTAGACTACTGTTCTGCTGAACTCTTCCTCTGTTAGTAAGTGTGTTCTATTTTGGAACTAACGAAACCGACAGCACAAAACACTACTAGACCTTTCCATACTGCTCACCCATAGACGCTTAACTCAAGCGACCTTGTATACATGCACAACTTTAGAAATATTTCAGAGCTGTGGACAAGCGAATATGTAGTTTATCGCATTTTGGAGGTCATTCATCAAGCTACTAAATAACTTCGTGTGAAATAGACTCAAAGCCACAAACGATTTTGGTGAGCCATAAAGCGTCCTGCTATTCTTGCAGATCTTCTGGCCTATGACCCTACAGACGACACCGAGGTTGAATTCTACAATCTTTTATGTTCAATATAAACCTGTGTTTAACTCTCGATTAGACGAAGTGCAGCTGACCTAACAGCAGCAGAACAAACGAGGCCCATATAGTTTCACCTTGTGAGCCTGGCGCCCTCCCTTCTATTTTGTTCCATTCGGGTACTCCAAGAAAAACGTAACTAGTTACGACTGACGAGATTGTTTGCAATGCTACAAGCTGGCTGACACAACTAAAGTCCCGATTTAGCAGAATTTCACGCATATCTCAAATGATCGAGGAAGAACCTACTTGCATTAAGTCTGTCTGTTTGGAACGAAGTGCAAAGTAAGGGTCTCAAACACTGCCTTTTCTCTACTTGAGATGCTCAACTAGTCGATTCCCTCAAGATACTGTGTACTGAAGCGGCCGTTTCGCGGTGTCATTTTGTTGGATAAATAAATCCTAAACAAGCATCCGAAGATTCTTCGCATTGCTGACTTGAGATACTATAGCTACTCAGCTACATACTGTATGAACACCTTGTTATTGCTTCAGAGAGACTGAAATTTTGAATGGAAAACAGGGTAACACCAAACAACCGTCTGTTCCCTGTCACTGTTCATTTTTGTTGACATTTGATGCAATAGTGTTTCAGTAAAAAACACTATCAAAAAGCGCACAAAATCGTGACTAGTTTGCCGCAATATTTATTTATGGGATTGTACGGTTTCTGGTCTGTACCCATCAGGAGGGTCTGGGATTCGTAGCTAGATGATCGTTTTAAATTATTCGAATCTTTTCACGATAGACGAATGGAAGTTTGAAGTCACGGAATAATGTCAAAACATTCCGGTAGGTTTGGTAAAAAAAAGTGGTTTCAGAGTAATGCGATCCATCAGTCAAGTCCAAAAGGCACTTAATTTTCCTATGAAGCATTCCCGTCCGTATTTATTCCTTTCTTGCTCTTTCGCTCATTTAATCACGATTTTGTTACTGTTTGGTAGACTGACTTCTAACAGTGAGATTGCAAATTGGGAGGAGGCGAAGGTGCATGAAAACAATCGATGTCCATCACAGCTTAGTGTGTAATTTATATCATGATATTTGCAACGCAACCTTTGGGGAGGTTTAACTCGATTGACCAAATGTAGTGCAATACGTATGGGTCTAGCTTTTCTCCACTACAAGAGTATCAAGTAGGCTTCAGTCAACAAAACCAGACCGGATTCATTACAATTACGACACAATAAATAAATTAACAATTTATTCGGTGAATCGTCAGTTGACTACTCATGTACAACGGTGTAGTGACGAGAAATTAACTATTTTCAACACCTATACTGCTGCTTTCCCACTGTCACTGTAGATTGATTTATGAATCCTCGCTCTGAAGCACCAATTAGGTAACTTTCAGTCGCTCAGTCGGAAAAGTAAAAAGATGGGCTAGACACAATGCGTATGTGAAACTGGGGTTTGGTTAGCCTTTGGGTTAGGTCTTCCCCACTCCCCTCCAGTCCGCACACCCACACTACGAAATACTGTAACCGTAACTATGCTAGCCCATTCAGACAATCGGTAGTGTGTGTGTGTCTGGACAATAAGAGTGTTGTCGTTCTCAAGAGATTCAGTCTAACACTGGTAAACTTTTGATCATATACCCAGATAGAAACTCAGTCGACTAACCCGTTTTTGGTGAAGAGAGAAAGTGGTATCACGTCTGTATTTGGGCGGGTGGAGGGGGGAGTGAAAACAACGGACGAGCATGGTTGGTCCATGTGTGCACATCGGGGCCGTCGGAAAAATTTTTATGACTTTCCCCATGGCGTGCGCGCGCACACAAAAACCTGTCAGGTTGGTTGTGCAAAGCTACGGTTGCACATGCAGTGCATAGCGCGCGAACACAAACAGGAATACACCCGCAACTTGTCCACCACCCAGGTTCAGAAAGAATTTTATTACCTCGCTTCTGATGCCGCTGTTTTTGTACATTGCTCGTCACATTTGGGCCACCCGGCTATCCACCATCGAGTCGGGCACAGTCACTCAGCAAAAACATCGCACCGTTCGCTCACTGGATAGGCGCACAATGAAGGTGTACACACTCACATACGGAAACGCGTTCAGAGAAGTCACAACCAATGAATGGATGAAAGAAAAGTCCGCCATCCCAACAAACGCATCCGGCCGATTGTTTCTGTCTGTGTTGATAGCTTAGTGGAGCAACAGACATCTGAACTGTTGAAAGCTACATTCCCTCTGGGTTGACGGCAACATTTCTTGCCGTTTACTTTTAACAAAGCAAAAACTCCAGCTATTTTATCACTCATCGATTTTTCACGTGGCCAAAATGTGGTTTTATTGCTCAGATCGTTTGGGATTAGGCCTTCAGCATTGAAGCATTTACGAAGGTCACCTACGCGAGGACCGACAAAACAGAATTTTACAGCCGACATGGAACACTGGTATCGATTGTGTTCACAAATCTAAATTCCCCGTACCGAGATAAAGATATGATGATTCTGAGAGCAGCCAAAAGTTTGATACTTTGTGATTGCTTTCGAATAGCTTGTCCCCCATAAAGTCATGTTACGGTCTAGATCACAAAAACAACGGACCTTAATATTTGCGAAATTCTTTGAATTTGTAAGTACTCTGCTAGTGCAGCAGGTAAGGTTACCTAATATCTCTGTAGCGGAAGCACACCGCTAACTGCTAACTGCAGCTATGTTTCATAAGCTCACAAAAAATTGTTCAGCTGTGGCACGCTTTTGGTGCCTACCTGTCATGTCACCCGAAGGAAGCACAAGGGCTGAGATACTGTCAGTTTGTCCAATCCTAGGCAGGGGAGGTCGAGTGGCAGCGGTCGGGCTCGAACCACGGACCTTCCGACCAGTAAACTCTCGCTCTAACCACCGAGCCATCTCACAGACCCTAGAGTAATATTTTGTACGGAAGCACTGGGTATTTTTTCTGGTTGCTTTCGGCTGTACAGATCAAAAGCATTCAGCCAAACCGGAAAGTGGCTGAATGCCGGAAAAGACAAATGCTCCGACGCTTCGCGCGAACGTAGGAGAGTTATTTCGAAATCTAGCTATCTCCTTCTAAGGAGGGGGGGCACTGTTTAGGAATGGTGACGCATTAAGCTTATTGAGCAAGTTATATGTTTCTCAGGAAAAACATTTTTGACCAGTCCCGCTTTACGGTCTTTTCAGAGGCTAATTGCTGTATCAGGTGATGAGAGTGGGTAGCGGAAAGCATAACAAATTACATCGGCTTATTAATCTTTATTGAAACTAACCAATGATTCCCAATATTCCCTTTCCAGCTTAGCCTTTCTGGCCTAATATCACCTGCTGGTCGAATGACCTTAGGTGGGTCGACAGTTGACCGGCATCAAATGACTACTCTACGGTGTAAATCTTGTAGAAGACTGTGGATGGCTGTTTTATTTGGTGCATCTCCGATTAAAACAGGGATGAGAATTAAAAGCCATAATTTCTGAAACCGGATTTACAACGGACGCAGATGACTTGTGAGCACAAGAACATTTTACCGCCAATATGGCCTCCTTCAAGTTTAAGTGCATAGTATACTGCCCACTATCAACTGTATGGTCGTCTGCTAAGTGGGAACGTGATGGAGTGCTGGTTAGGAATCCCAGAGGGAACGCACGTCTCTTGCAAGTTGCTCAACCACTGTTGTAGTGGTTGACGTTCAAGGGCCCCTGTATTATGAGTATTCTCAGAAGTTCGACTAGACATCAATAAAACTGGGCACAGAACCTAACATTCAGTTGGACAAAAGTTCATAACTATGGTTGCATATACTTTGGCGTCTATTCTGTTGGCTTCATTGCAAGTTTCACAAAGCGAGTAAGATCTCTCATGCTCCTCGTCTACCTGAATAGTTTAATGGACAGATTTATACCTGAAGGCATGATTTCAGTGAGAATCGTTGAGAAGTAGTCATAGTACCGAAACATCCCAGTCAGCAATCGTGCGCTTTGAAGTCAAAATTTTATTGATCCGTTTCACGGTCGTCAACGTCAAATTTCACTTTCACTGTAAGTCGCAGGCTAACGAATCAGTCTTTTGAGAAAAAGTAACAGATTCAGCCAGCGTATATCGAATTACGGTGATCACAAGCATTTGTATTTGCCTGGGTAAACCTAGCTTATTTTGTGTGGAAACCAAATGTGCGATTACAGCCAAGTCAAGTCAGGTGATGTTGTTATGTTCCACACTGACACTACAGGCAGCGAGGATAAACGTGCTGAGCCATAGAGTATTCCGATCTGGAGTGAGAGTACCGACAGTGCATCAGGTGAGTTCATATTCGCCTTTTTAAGTGTGTACGGATACTGCTGTATACTACCGGGGGCGAGTCATATGTCCACTGCATAAAGCAGCCCACAAGTCCCGTTTGTACGGGTCAACGGGGTTTTTCCCAGGTAGCCAAGTCATCCGTGCATCTATTCAAAACATCCGAAGTAGTTGCAGGCGTACATAGATTTGTGAAATTTAGGGGTGCTGGTTTGGTTATACGGTTAGTCAGTAAACCACAGTTCTAATCGAGGTCTTCTCAGCAGCTCAGTTCATCCAACCAATTCTGCTCTGCAGAAAAGTCCGTGGTAAGCTATGACGGGATGATATAGCTTAAGTAGCCAGTAAAAGAAACTACTCACAAGGTTGCTGTTGCAGCTCACGACCGGTTTCGCCCTTCTTGGGGTTCAGCAGGTGGGCGCGGTCCCCGAGTTTCCGTCAACCTTATGAAATAATATATCCCGAATATCGTACCAACTGAAACATGAGGCGTCCTGTGTGCAGCACATTCAGTTGTAGAGTATCATAAACGAGAGTTTCAGTGTGAAAAAAAAATTGATTTGCAAATGAATGTACTTATCGTTAAGTGGCTAGTCTTGGATGGTTTACTAAATCGTGATAAACAAGTCAGAACTTAACGAAGGTGGTCTGTTTTCCGGTTTAGCGACAACAGTTAAAGTGCCATCAGTAGACGTGTAAACAAAGAGTGCCTCAAACATTCTGAATGGCTTACTTTCTTTGGAAGAGTCTGTGAAAAGAAGAAATATTCGATGGCTTACAGATCTTATGCTTCGTCTAGATATCTGGGATTTTCACGTTTATCCAAGGACTCAAATCATTAAATGACTGACTATCTCAGTTTGTCCTGAACCCAACCGAGATCCGTTTGGATAGTGTTTTATTTGGAGCTGCTGCACGATGAATCATGAATGTGGCTGTCGCATCTTTTTCTTTAGAGAATTTATCTTATCGTATTGACTAAGGGCGATGTCTTCTAAAAAGTGGTTTCGCGAGGAAGATAGTGTTTTCTGAACAACGGTGAAATCTTCTGAGGGCCACTCTCTAATAAATGCGTTTTCTTGGGGTGCTGACAACCACAGTTGGCGGAAATTGAAGCGACCATCGAGTGTGTTAGAAGAGTATTGAAAAAAACATGAAGAAAGCCTAAATTAGGTATATCAGAGAATAGCTAAGACCAGTTGGGCCTGCGGTTGTACAGGACTTCCTCGGAGTAACGTTTGCATCATCAACTTTTAACCGTTCTCTGGCAATGTATCTCACTCTGTCGGAACAAATCAGGTCCACGCCGTTTTCTCTACTTCCATCGCTCCTGTTTGTCATGTGTTTCGTGCCGGTCACCAAATGGTGGGTCCTTACCACGTGCACACACGAGAAAGTTTAGCAAATCCAGCTAGATGACCGAGTCGTAAAAGTGAAGTATGATTGACAGCGGTAGCCTATGATGTGCTTTATACTGGGTATGCAAACTATCGATCCACATTTTAATTCAGCCTCTGCAGAGTTGGTTACATGCAGTAGATGTGCAGTAAAGGAAGTCACACTGAACTATGTTGTATAGGCGAGCAATGTCAGAGAATGATCGATCAATCAAGCGTGATGAATTCCAAAAACCTCAGGTAACTTCAACTGGATGGAAGCTTTAATCCTGTCAACTGTTCAGATGACTTCACCAAGTAAGGTGAAAATACTCTAGCATCCTGGACCATTCAAAGCTTGTCGATAAAAATTCATTTTTAACTACAACTGAATGCATTTCTGAAGTAAGCATTTGTCTAACTGGTTGGTGTGCTAAAACCATGAGGTGATCAGCCATTTCCGGGAGTTTGAAGATAGGCTGAAGTAAGTAGGTAGGAATCCCCACATTTACTTCGTCATCGAGGAGACAAGGTCACTTCAACCTGGACTTTCCTTATAGAACTTATCGCTCCAGCAATCTCCAACTCCTTCTGCTGTGCAAACAGTTTATCCAGTCAAAACTAGCTCTTCTCTGCGACACTTTGTGGAGTTTCAGCTAATTCAAATGACATTACGTTAAGTCAGACGAATCTTTGACACCAAGGCACAGCAGAACGGGAGTCGGTACATCGCATGTCTTGCGATGCATGTGAGCCACGGAAGATGTGTTCATATGAGCTACATTTAATCACGTAGCATTCAATCAAAATTCAGTAGATAACTAAGTCGGGAATGTTTGTGCCGTCTCATCCGATCGGAATGGAGAGAGACGTAATCCGTATTGTTTATTTGAAACCAGCTTTGTGTTTTTTACGTTTGCAACACTCCTGTGCGTGCGAACCAAGGGGTGTGAGTGTATCCAGACCAGCATCACGATTCTGATTCAGAACCGTTGGGTACACAACCTTGATGGGCTTGGCCGGATTACGAATAAGTGACCAGACATGATCTTTTGAAGGGCTGAATCTGACGCATTGTCTATGACCCAGTTCGAACAACCGTTTCGGAACCCATGTGTTTCTTTGTGGGTGCATATGGGTTAGTATGTTATGTGATGCGCGCATGAAAATACCTTTGAAGCGGACTAGTGTCTCGTAGTTCACATCTGTTTAAATCACGACACCAGTAGCCCGGTCTGCTAAATCCATAGAAAGGTAACAACTCTATTGTGAGCAAAACGCATCATTAAAATATGACTGAATATCATAACGTTCAACACTAGGTTAGGCCGCAGCTCTCGACTACGTCTAAAACTGTGTCCATGACACATGTGTTGCTACAGTACAGGGAGAGGTTGGACAAAACAGATGTGGGGCTGAAAAGTGAACTGAAGTGAATTGAACTGAAATGAATTGATCTGAAATGAAGAACCTGAATCCATTNGCAGGACTAATCAAAAATGCCTAACTAAATATACTATCCGATATGCCCTATACTGAAACCTGTCCTCTAAAACAACGGAAACTCCCCTATTGTGCCACACGATCTCCTCTTATTTCCTCTCATTCAGAAGATTGCGCGATGTGAGGCACGGGTAGCTAAAAAGATACGATCATTCGAGTAGAAAAATGAATTTTACCATGTGATGCAGAACGTACGGCCATATACATCTTCAAGCTAAATTTTACCATCTCTCCAGACGTTTCTGGTGCGATGTCATGTGATTTCAGTTTTTTCGCATGATTCTAACCCTGCAATAGAATTACCGCTTCAGCTGACTTGAAGGGAAGCGTCAGCATGCCAACTATCTTATCGCTCAGCAAGGTATTTGCTGATTCTCAAGGATCTCTGGAACAGAAAGGTAAATGGTTCCACAGAGATTGGCTACCTTCTAACCTTTCTAGAAGCCTGGTAACTTTGATACGTAATCCTAGAAACTGTGACACCAAAACAGTCACGGCCAGACACGTAACCCCAGTTTTTTTCAAGTTTTCCCCAGACCTTTTTGATTGATGCTTCGCATACAGATAACGCGATTAATTGGCAGATCAGGGCGCATGTATGGTTGGTCCCGCCGGTGTATGTCGCCGGACATTGGAACGCTTTGAAGACAGACAGGAGAGACAGAGAGGGGGGCGTACGTTGCTACCATCATCGATACATTCGCCGGAATTGGGAAGATACATAAATCATCGGATCATCCAATCGCTTTTAGGTTGCTGATCAAGTGCGTCTCAGCGTAATGCTGCTAACACTTGACCACCAAGCAAGGTTCGTCACTGAATCTGCTTGCCAGTTTGCTTGAAATCCGACACAAATTAGCACGCTTACACATGCATCCACGAGCGAATGCCGCGCACGCGCCTGTTGCCGGGACTGTAACCACATGTTACCACGGCTATACGGGAAACACATCAGGTAACTTTTAAACGTTTTCGTTGTCTCCAGGTGGATTGCACCACGTAATGGACTTAAATCACAAAACGAGGCACAGTCAATCGATTGTCTAGCAAGCCAGGTTGATGTCCCTTTGGGAGACTCAGTCCAGTGTTAACTTACCAAAGTGTTCGGTTGGAGATGGGCTTAGCAACCAATGATTTAAACAACGACCCAGAGTGTGAACCAGACTGCAGTTTCTAAGTATGCAGCACTCTCTCAAATATCAGCCAAACGACTGGCAATCTCTTTCCAAAGAAGTTAACAGTTAACCTACACTGGGCAACAGACTTCTCTGTGTTCACAATGAATCCCCTAAAACAACGTCGAATTGAACTATTCACAGCAAATACTTAACTATACCTGACTAGGAGAATCAGACTTGTCACTCCGGCCTCCCATTAATCTAACTGGATCTCACTTGTCCTTTTGCTTGATCTGATTCTTCCAAAAGCATTAGGAGACAACAGAAGTCGCTCACCATAGCCGCATACATTCAATGGATGGAATGGGATGAACAATACTCACAGTGCACAGGTCTATGATTCATAACAGTATATCTGGGAGAAAGTGATACAGGAATACTATAAGTGTAGAGTATATGCAAAGATGTTATGCGAGCACATCGTACAACCTCTCGCCGATAGTATTTACTCCTGTGTTCCAATCATTTGGTATCAGCCTTCAAAAGTCGCTTTATTCTTGGTCTGACGGGTGACCGGATAAGAGCAGATCTGTTAATTTTCTCTTGTTGTTTCACTGCGGTTCTCATTGTAATTTGAGAGTTACAAACGGTTGTAGTTTGTACTTGTCACTATGTATGGTGCTTCCTCAATCAAGATTTTCAGTTGGATAGTGGAATGTTGTAGATCGCTTGGCGGAACAGAAACCAACTGTTTATGGGATGGAAGGTTCGAACTAAGTGTGCTTTTATTGGATGTAATAACTGTCTTTCAGGAAAGCACTCACAAGTTTGCTGAAAACACTTCAACGAAACCGGTCGTGGGCTGCCGAGGTGTTTTTGGCAACCTTGCGAGTAGTTTTTTGTGTGAAAATATACTCCGATATCTCGAAAATCGTATCAACTGGAACGTGAGGCGGTTTTTGTGCGGCACATCCAGTTGAAGAATACCGCAAACGAGAGATTTAGTTTAGTCTCCAGTGAAACCTATTTGATATACAACTAAGAGCATTTGTCAAGAATTCCTTCAGCTTTTCGGATGAACCGCTAATTGATACTATTGTTTGCTCTAATCGTTCTATCCTCACCTGCCAGCCGAAGGTACACGGAATTTGTACCTTCATTAGTAGTAAGCATCTGGTCAATCAAATGAAGAATTTTCTTCACTAGGATTTTCATATCAATATTTTGGCCCCCTTTTCAGCCGCATGCGATCAGCCAAATTGCCCAAGACCAGCGGCTCCTAAATGAGCTTATACGCCGTGATTCAGCGATCCGAGGAACCGACGGCTATCTCGCTCAAGCAGTGGAGGTAGAAAGCTGTGCGAAATCTCGCTACTCGCAGGTGAGCCAATGAGTGTCTTGTGACACCATCGTACACAAATTCGTAAATGAATTCGTATGCATTGTCTTTGTACCTCTGACAGTACGGCTGGTCTGTTCCATGACAATCGAACATGGCTTCAGGATGGTCTGTGTGAACAATGTCGTTAAATATTAGGTAAAATCGGCACGGTAGGGTTTTATCTGTTATCTCCATTAAATCACTTGCTTTATAATGAATATAGTAAAACAAATAGAGTATTTTTCCTAGTCCTTAATAACTCAACGTTTTGGAAGCGGTTTAGACTCATAAACACAGATGTTCGTCTCCATTTTGTCGGAGCTTTCCGACTTATCTGATAATGTCGCCTAGCCACAACGATGCACGCTGCCGCTGTATCTCTAAGGGCAATTTTAACTCTGTGAAATAAGCGGAACAGAGGTAACAACTGTTAACCAAGATTATTAGCATTTCATCGGAGCATGTGAAAAGCTACAATCACAAGTCGTGAAACATAGGCAGGGGAATAGTATATTAAGCAGCGGTTGGTAACCCTCACCTTATCGACACCTAGTTCCTATTCCTTTGCTTGAAGCTTTTGGACCATCTTGGTGACGATCTTGATTTCGGCCCGATAGGGAATCCATGCCACATAGTAGCAAACTGAATAAACAAAATACCAATATGTGATGCTAAAACTGAAACAGCGGCAAATAATTTTGATGCCATCCAGACATTTGCAATTTTTGGAGACTTTGAGACCGAACAACTAGAACCCTTGATTAGGAATGTATTGGCAGACTCTGTAACGTTGTCGTCGTTACCTTTCTTTTCGTTTTTTCATGTCATTCCTTTTAGATTTAGTCCCGAAGACTCCGGTTTTGTTCCCTGTCTGTACTTTTCGTCTACTAAACAAAAACTGTTCAATGGCCGTAATTAGTAGTGGGTTATGGTGAAAAACCTCCATGATCCTGCATTTCTTCGTAGGGGGGAGTTTTAGCGCCATTATCCATTTGGTTTCGTGAAAATCGTTTCAATAATCATTAAAGTCTTGTCTTACTGTTACCCACATGTGTACAGATTCTGCAGTGGGAGAGTTGTTCATACGATGGTTCACGCTATTAACTGGTGAGTCTGCCCACCTCTCCCGGTCAGCTATGATGCTTGTTTGTTTTAACCAACCATGATCTTCTTTTTTTCAAACCCATCCGTTATTCATTCACATTAGAAATATCAATACAGTTTGGTCTTTGAGACGGTTGTGGGCATCTGGTATCAGTTTGGTCTATTTCGCATAAAGTTAGCAATCAGCTTTGCTCGTTTATCGTCCAGATGGTTAGTAAAGTTTCCCAATGTAGCTCAAGCAATACATCCTAGATTTTTACCCGTCTTCATCTTCTGTTCGACATTTGAATCACGTAGATTTCGATGCATGAATTTGGAGAATTATTCAAGCAGAGGACTTAAGCTCTCTCTGGTAGGCATAGCACCCGCCTGACGAACAGTGACGTGGTTTTTAGGGGAGAGTAGTATAAACCTTTTCGCAACGTCCCATTAATGTGTCCCAGTGGAGTACTTCTTCGGAAGAATTCAATTTGTCCTTGTCGATGCCAAACTACCTTTGATGTGGCTAGGAAAAACCCAAAAATTTTTAGTAGAAATATGGTTGAAGCGAAATGCACTCATCTGTAAACAAATTTGGGTTTGCGACAGACTCATCTGGAACCCAGCTGAATCTCTTGTTTGTGATGTTTCCCGGCAAATGAATGTGCTGCACTAGGCTGCCTCATGTTCCAATTGCTACGATATTCAAGATATCGCGATACATGTATATTCGTAATGCACTGCTACCTGACGAGCCCCCAAAAGGGCAAAAACGTCGTGGGCTGTCGAGGAATTTTCAGCAAACTTATGAGTAGTGCATTACAAATACGGTTTAACTCTATAGTGCCGTGTTCGTGGCGGAGATCAAGGAACTTACTGATCTTCCATACAATGATACCAAGAGGAGGCAACTGTTTCAAGTGGCTCCCAAGGTCGCTGACTGAAATTACTGTTTGCGTACATCGCGTCTTATTCACCACATCGTCTTGTGATGGTGAAGTATTCGACAGAACACATTATGCAGGGGGGTTAGAGGGTTATCCGCACATTTAACTGCTGAATGTTTCCTGTGAACCGCTAACCTAAGCAGCTAATTAGGATTTGGAATCAATAAATCATTCTTGTGTGAAGGCTGAACTGATTACCAGCCTTTTACCATAAATGGTCTATTCAGGATGATTGGGTACATACCACTAAAGCTGCCGAATTAATATAGCTTGTTTAGTTACGATTCATCTAGCCTGTCAGTCTGATTACTTGTCACATACACTGTTCTTTATAAGATACGTGTAAGTCATCAACCCAGTTTTCTCAGTGCAGTACGGATTACTCCGCTGCAAGCGTATTTCTAGAAAATGTTCTTTTAAGTTAAGGTCTTCGGTCCACACCAGGGTAGGTCCTGCATACTTTTTAGTTGTTGATACACTTCAAATTACTGCATACTATTTTCGTAATGTTACCTAACAGCAATTGCGTATATGTTTGTGATTTTAGTGGTTAATCGGCAATAACACACTGTGTGGAGACGATAGACGGTGGTGCACGAATAGGAATTCGAATCCCTGTGGTTAACCACAAGGCCAGACGTTGTCTATTGAGTTACCTGGCTAAGCAGCTACGGTGTCAAACAAGATATCACTGCATGGATCAACCCTGTTCCTCGATCCTTCGAGCAGCCATACTTAAACTTAGCCAGACCTAAACCTTGACTGGATCTGATGTTGAACCGAGTTGCCAAACCTTGGGTAATCCTAAAAATAGCTTTCATTTCAACGTTGTAATTTCCAAGTCCTAATTGTCCAGACCGTCCTTCGGGATTACTGGTTCAGTATGGTCTGCGTAATCATCACACTGTTTTCCGTCAAGACAGCTTCAAACTTACAAGTTTGGTGAACTTCGTCTGTTCCCGCATACCGATGGCCAGTTGTCCATGACTCGCTTTTACCACGCACCCGAGTGACTTGCAGTCTTACACTAATGTGACTTAAAACAGCGAACTGCTGTTACAGAGCTCAACGAGAAGTCGCGCAGAAGTCTGTGCTAAACGACTGAGTGGAGGCTGTGTTTGGCCTGTTCTGGTTTGCGCTATGGCTCCTGGTTTAAAAGTACGCGTTGTCAGGATAACAGTGAATTGGTCAGATGGCATAAGTTCCCACACAAGCTGTCAACCCGAATCTACGTACATAGCCGTGTTTGAGGGGCTGTTTTATTTTTAGTTCAAAGTGTAGATGGTGGCAACGGCGTGAAGACATCCGGATTTCAGCAGTAGTGTTTTTGTCAACCATATTGCGCTTGTACGAAGTAATTTATTAAGAATGTGTTATATCAGTTTCTGAATGACTTTGCAAGACTGACGGGTAGCCCAAATACCCTTTAAGATTTCAACTGTAGTCCCAGTTACTATGCCTATTAGATAATATCTACACAGGGAGAAAAACCAGCCATGTTGCAGATCAACAACTCAGATCTGATAAAAATACACTTGATGTTGCCAAAAGTTTTTTCAGTGATCGTATCGTTAAGGGGGAATACTTATCGCCACGGTCAGCCACCACTCCGTCACAAGTCAGATCGCGTAGCCTGAGAAAAGCTTACGGGTGGTTTGTGCCCGTATTGAACCAGTGGTTGTGTAAATGGTAGGTTTCTTCCTTTGCTTATTTTGTTTGTCTTCGCAGGCTGAACTCATTACTAGAAGCAGTTAATTTCCGGCCTAAGCGACCACCAGCAGACGAAATCCATAATAACTCGATGCTCAGCTTTGAAAAAGAAATCTGTTCTATTACCAGAGGTCCTTTGTGTTTGAGTTGTAACGGTGACATTCCGTTGCTCGCACAGATCTCTCTTCAACGAGATAGCCTATTCTGAGTTGGTGAGAATGAAAACGGTCTCGGCTCTTCCCAAGTGTGATCTTTTCAGAGGAGATATGCGGTAGAATAACGCAGGGCACTTGGAGGATAGGTCAAAAGGTTCTTCGGCGGTACCTCCTTGATTGCATTCTACACATGGCCTTTCTTGATTCACTTTTGGTTACCCTGTTTCTAAAGTAAGCACCACAAAGGTTGTTACACAGGAACAACTGTCATTGCCGAGAAGCGACAATGATACCTAGATTCACTTTCGTCCACAGGAGACCCTTTTGCACTCTTGTGCAGCAGGTGAAACAAAACATGCAGATATTCATACCCAAATCCTCTCAAGCGTTATTTTCACTGACAAGCACTTGTTGATCATGCCCATCGGTTTCCAAGTGATGGTGAGGAGCACCCTGTAATCTTTGTGATCGTATCATTAACTGTTCAAAGGACTGGCACGCAGTTTAGATGCTACAGCTCTAATAAGTGGTTGCCTATGTGGGTAGTTTTGCGCGTTAGCTGCTGGGGACGTCTTTGCCAACGCTCGTACACAACACGGCTTTCCTTTCGCCCTGTCAGCCGTCCAAATTGTCGTTGCGCTCGGTCCAAATTGTTGATGCGTAATAAGTGCCGCCTTGTGTTGGGAAGTATTTGGGCCGTGGTTGCCAACACAACCACCACGTGGATGTGCATACGCCAGAACACCACATTCTGGTTGATCTGACTGAAGACGCGAGTACATTGGGCTGTTCGCCTCTAGGCTTTCGCCTATGTAAGAACTCTTTAAACGAGGCACTTTAAAAACACGTGTCCTCTCCTTTTTGATGGCTGTAAACGGGCCATAAAATCGAGTGTACTGCGTGGGGTTACCATGCTAGGCGGTCGGTGAAACTGGGCTTGTAAGCAGACCGAAACACGGTTTGCGCCTTATAGATTCTTGTTTACAATTTCATGAATATTTGACTTCAGACGTTTAGTCACGTGATTTTCTGGGCAAAACCATACACTTTTAAGTAAATGTGTCTTTGGTCAATGCAAAAGGACTTTAATGAGGCTTTGTTAAATTATACTGTTTACATTTCTCAGAGTGTTGTCTTTAGAGGATTTTCTGTGATACCGGGAAGTGGGATTCCTGTGTTGCTATTCTTTTACGAATTAAGTAAAAAAAATATTCTAGTACAGTTTGAAGTGGACAGATGAACAGAGACACTGAAGCTGGTGTCAGCTGTTGGTATCCTCGTGAGCTTGAACTCGGTGGTACTGGTCTGGAAACTCGGATTGGGAGCTATCCAATCCCCTTTGAAGATGGAACCACTGAGACAGCAATTTATCAACAATAAGCAATGGTGCTTAACGATAATGTTTTCAGTAGACGAGAGGGGTGTTATGCAGTTGGTCACTTCCCTGAGTGTTCGAGTGAAGGGCTGTACGGAAGAGTGATCATCAAGCGGGACAAGAGGAAGCTTAAACGTTACCTTTGAAGAAGGAGGCATCAGCATTAACATGGTTTTGCTTAGCTTCCCCCCGCTGTACACACCGTATAAGGCCGATGCGACCAGCTAACGGCCCATGTGGTATGAAGGTATATTTGTTTGCGCGAGTTTACTGATTGGGAGGTCCGTAGTTCGAGCTCAACCGCTGCCTCCCGACTTCTCCTGTCTAGGCTTGGGCAATCTGGCAGTATCCCGGTCCTTGTGCTTCCTTCTGGTGACATGGCAGTTAGGCACCGAAAGAGTGTTGCAGCTGGCCGATTTTTTTAAATTAATGCTTGCATGCATATCGGCTTGGATATTGTCAGGGTTTTCAAACCCAGACCGGAGAACGATTAGAGTCCTTGGCCAAAGCCTTTGGCTCAAAAACTGAGCCAAAGATGAGCACAGTGGAAAGAGTGGCAGCTCCCAACCTGATAGATCGAGAGACATTGTCGGCCAGAAACCTGTCCGCTGACCATCCCAGTGACGGAGACCCTGTGAGTACCGCATGGGCATCATCTAGTACAGTTCAACTGGTCGCTGAAGTACACAAAATCGTTACACCACGATAAGATCGAGTCTGTTCATGATGGCATGGAACCAAGAGTACACACCGTTCACTTTCAGAAGTGAGCAGGACCTCAGCATTCACCCCTGGATTCATACTAGGATTTCGGTGCGTTGAGCAGGATGTTTTTAAATGCTAATTCTTATTTCCCTCAGAAATATCCGACAATATACTTTCATTTTCGCTGAATGACGATATCTGTACATTATCAACTTCTGGAGACAAAACTGAAATTCCAGTTAGGCTTTCTCACTCCAAGTCGGCTATAGACAGCTCTGTAAGAGAAAAATATAATAGGAGGGAACTGTCTGCTCGTTATTTTTTGCTTTATTTTGGATTCGAAAACCTAGAGCACTACTAATATTCCTCTCCGGGCTGAACGGTACTCTGGAGTCCTTAAATATTCCCCTCAGTTCCAGGGTCAAACGGCCAGGGCAAGAGTGTTGTAATGCGAAAGCTGTATTTGGTAGCGAACCGTCCTGCTCAGTGAAACTCAAACGCTGTTTTTTAATCGCACGGATGTGTACTATTTGTTGCGGTCTAAACCGCTAGCATATTGGTGGTGAATCTAGTGAAACAGACAACCGTAAACCTGTGATGCGTGGCAGACGCGGATGGGTTGTCTTTAGGTTTCAGTTTCAACAGTTTGCAGGTAATCTCAACAATAGTTTACCTGATACGTGCCTTTCTTTGCTAAAATGGACTACGTGATATGGGATGTATTAAGTAACAGCACATAGTCCGGTGTATGAAAAGTGGAAATAATGGGCCAATTGGTATTACACTCTGATTAAAGCTGAAGCGAAAAATGGACGTCTTTACAATGTGCAGCATTCCCCAACAAAATGGGGCAACCCAGCAGATCAGTTTCAGTAATGATGATGATGATGATGATGATGATGATGATGATGATGATGACGGCGACGACGACAAAATGCCAGAACTGCCCGATCTTAAGCTGTCTGGGAAATGACAAGAAATGCATCAAAAATTATACAACAGATCCAGGCACCAAATAACCCTCGGGCAGTTCGAGTCATGCAAACGCTATTACCACAAGTTGCAGAGATAGTTTGTGGCAACAGAAGTAACAAATGCTTAGGGTCCTTAGGTTTGAGGTAGTACAACGATACGTGGAGGCTTAGCGAGAAATTACAGCCCCTGTATACTGTATCACACCCATTGCTAGGGGATTTCACGGACATCCGGGCTTTCTAGAAGCCACGAAAATGGGTAAAATTTAAAGTAACTATCTTTCATGCATGGTCAGTCAGTTGTTGTTTGGATTTAGTTCCAGAATGAGTAGTGTATTAAAGTAAACTTGACCTTGTCGGTGGATTGGTGGAATACTACCAACGGATCCACGACCTGGTCACAGCGTCATAAATCAATGACAGGATGCTGACGAAGAAACACTCTCTGCATGTAGAACGCAGTGCTAAAACTGCCAGCTGGTGGTGATGTAACATCGTGTTTTTGTGAGCCAGTGACTTGGGTTAACGTCGAAGAAAAGCTTAAAACAGTTTCCAAATAAGACAGGATATAGGTTTCTGAATAACTTACAAGGTTAGGTTTCGTGACTTAAACTTAACGAACTTACTTGACGCTCCGTCAGATTCAGTTTGCACGATATCTCCCAGCGCTTTTGTCTTGTGATGTAGGCATTTCCCAGGAACTCGTTTTCCAAAACCATGGTTTGGTATCTGGTGTAGGGTTTGCGTTTCTTCCTTGATCTTGTCTCTGCATAACCGAATACAGAAAAAAGAATATACCGATTTGTTAAGTGTGAATGGCAAGTAAGGATGCGCATGACCGAATTTTTATCTTCCTAGCGCGCATCCTAGTGAAAGTAAATTTCTCACAGAAATTTACGAATTCTTCCGGTGAACTTCGCCATGTTTCTCGACTATATATATACCACGTAACTGCTGCAGTTCCACGATTTAAACTACTGGGCGTGAATAGGATAGCTAGGAATTGAGGAGGCACCAGTTACTGCTTGGTCACGTGATGTGGATTCCGTGGTTGAAGGATGAGTGGCAATACATCCTACCTAAGTGTGAGTTAATCGCAATGCTGATTAGCCGCTCGTGAGTGAACGTGTTCACATTACTAGCCACGTGGTCACTGGTTGAAGGCTCGCCGGAGTTTCATGAGATACGCAATACTGATGATTCCCAGTGAGGATAAAACTGTAGTACGATGTTTCTTAGCATTTCAGTACAGATTAATTTCACTTGCGGAGCAAAATATTATTTGAAATTTAGGCCATGGTCGGTGCAAATTGACATCTTAACTAAATGCTGAGTTAGTATATGTTTTCCTCGCGGTCAACCGTCAATAACGAACAGATGTAAATTCCGTTGTTTGAGTGACCAGTTAACTTGTTAACCCCAGGGCTTTAATGCGTAACTGTTTGAGTATGTGAGCCCCATGAAGGGAATCATAGCTCTATCAGGGGAACCGCAGAAACATAGAACGCCATCGGTTTTAACTCGCTGTTGGGAATTTTGAGGATTATTACATGGAACTTCTCACTTTGATTTGTTCAAGATCATGTTATGTCTTGAAACGGAAATGAATGTTGAACGTCAATCAGTCAAGCGGCACAAATGCTACCAAAATCAAACTGTTGACTAGATTTAAAGAGTGATAGAAAACAAACTTAACATTCGACTTGACAGACTGAGGATATTCAAAAAATATCTTCATATGTCACTGGGTAAATCTTATTTATTTGGTCAAAAAGGGTTGGAAATACTGGAACGCGGAATTGTGCGATAATCTGGTAGTTCTCACCCTCCAATTTATTTTTCAAATTAGCACAGAGAAAGTACACCCCAGTTCAAGACAGTTGTAGGGTTCGCAGTAATTAGGTATTTTCTTTTTTGTATTTCGGGCGGGAGACAGCGGGTTCTGTACACTGCTTTCCAGCGCCATACATTTCCGAGGATGACTTGAATCACATGGAGATGTGGTTCACAACAGAATTACTCCATCTCTCTCAGTGGCTCAGCTCGAAGTTGGTACATCCTGTTTGAGGCCGGTTATCTCATTCCCGGGATAAACAGTTCTCTACTGTTTGAAAGTACATCCCGGCCAGTTTGGTATGCAATTTATTTGACCGGACGCGTTGAAGGTTGGTCAAGGCCCTAAGATTCGGCTCAATCGGTTGATATGGTAAAAGGGAAACCATCGACAGCCCACGACCGGTTTCGTCCTTCTTGGGGCTCATCAGGTAGGCGCAGTCCCGGGGTTTTCGTGTTTATTCGCTAATTTCGTGCAATTTGGTTTCAAGTAGAACATAAGGTTGACCGAAACCCGGGGACTGCGCCTACCTGGTGAGCCCCAATAAGGGCGAAACCGGTCGTGGGCTGTCGATGGATTTTCATCAACCTTATGAGTAGTACACTACAAATAAACATGTATCGCGATATTTCAAATATCGTAGCGACTGAAACATGAGTGGGCCTGGTGCAGCACATTCAGTTACCTGAGAACATCATAAACGAGAGATTCAGCTGGGTTCCAGGTGAGTCTCTCGAAAGAACCAAATTAGTTTGCAGATGAGTGTATATTCGCTAAAAGGGAAACCGTTTTTCACAATCATTTCTCGACAGATGGGGACATATTTGAGGTGACCCCAGTTAACTGCATCAGGTGGATTCTGAATTATTTGTAGAAAACATTACGCCGTGGCAATTCAAACCATTAGAACAAGACAACAGGCTCTTGGACAGATGAGGCATATTTAAGCTGAACAAAAAGACTGATAACTGAACTCCACAATGCAGCCATGTGTTTCGATGAGCCATCCCAAAGATAGGCGCTCCATTTTGGCAGTTTCAAGGCTCAGAGCGAAAGAACAATTGCGTTTGGTGAATTGCACTTATAAACTGATTTACAAATACAGTCGGTGTCAGTAGGTAGTCAACTGAATTTCGCTAGAATTTCTCGTTCGTACTTATTCTCAGCTGAATGTTCCGAACACGATCGCCTCATATATATCTGCTAGCACGATGTTCGAGATTTGATACTATATTCCCTTGATGGAACAGACCATTCACAAATTTGTTAAAAACTCTTCGCAGCCCATGACCAGCTTCCCCTTTTTGGGGGTTTATCAGGGTAGTTAAGGAAAAGGTTGAGTATCGTTCCAAACGAAATACGAATCGGTCTTTCGTTTCAGAAGAACGTAGTAAACAGTCAGTAGATATGTAAGTGGGCAGTCTTTAGCTTTTGACCTAAAACTCTGTCAGGCCGAGGGAGAAGGTTACAAATTTGGCCAGATTTCAAGGCAGACGGGGAACCAGTTGGCAAGAGCTCTTTCTGTAAGCACCTTAGATCATGGGTAAATGTTGAAGCGGCCTTGGTCCAACACATCCACCTGAAAACTCAATAGAATTCTCCGTTAACACTTATTTGAGCTTCAAATCAGTGTATAAATCGTCATTATGTGGGAAATAAGATTGTTGGAATCGAAGGAACAACACCTGTCTGAGGGATCCTCAAATAAACAAGTGGGTATTGGAGTATTCAATAACTTTCGTCATTCTTACAAGTAGTGTTGTGTGAGGAAGACAGTTGTGTTGTTCTGTTTTCGAACGAAAAAGTCATCGAAATAGCACTGTGGGTCCCACTTAGTCTGCGGTTGCTCATATACCCCAATCCGACTCTACACCGTGGCATAGCCGAAAAGTCCACACAACCTGGTAATGAACTAAAATCAGTATAAAGGTCCCGAAAGAGCGGTCGCCATTTTATCCTTCACCGGATGCGACAATCATTCCTCATTTTACTACCTCGGGGTCATTATAGGGATGAAATGGCTTGGACACTCCGAAATTACTGAGTTCACCACTTTACCTGTCAGTAGTGGTAAATTTTCTCGCGGAATTTTCGAAAATACTGATTCAAAGAGGATGAACAATCAAATAACTCTCCTTGTCAGCTGAAATATGTTGAATACTCAACTGCTGGTCGCAGAACACAGAAGAGCTTAGCAAGCGAAGGCCGATCGAGTAGTATACGAAGACTCGTGAAAAAACGTGAAACTCATCAGCTCATAATTTTAAACCAAACTTATTTAAGCTGAACTGTACATAGGTCTTCCGTCCAAGAAGTCATTTTTCGACGAACCGACACAGCTCACGTGACACAAACACAATAGTGCTATATCCTGCTTAAACACCAATCAGCAGCACAAGACTCAACGTTAAAGCTTTCAACTAATAACCGAAGAGTTGTGAGTACGAAACTTCATTTGGGGTTTGGCAGATGCACGCCAATTATGATTCCTCAACAGGGATAAAACGGCTTCACAGCGTTTCGTGTTTTTTTGACTCGGATTTACTCCGCGTGCAAGATGAAAGTTCAGCTGAAATATAACTTCACATTCAATGGGTATATACTGCATGTGGATTGAGACAATTCAAGTGATGATGCTTTTGGTTTGCTGACAACTGCCTTGGATGAACTCAGCCGGTTGGGCTAGAGCGAAAAAGGGACGGATGATTTGCACGGTTCGCAAGCATTCCAAAACCTCGTTTTTCGCGTACTGTGAAAGATAGTCACGTGGCCCTATTTCTGAAATCCTACTCCAGTGCGTTTACCTTATGACTGTCTACAAACCCTAAAATGTGAGACTCACTTTGGCTGGCCATTTCTGAGCCATTCCGAAGTTTTGGAATGACCAATGTCCCTTGCCCAGATTACCACCTTTAATCTGCATTGCTTTCCAGTCGTAGTCACCTCGGAAGCAAACTAAGGTTTCCTTTGAAATTCCTAGCTTACAGTTGTGGGATAAGTGTACTGCATCAAAGGACAATTGGTACACCGTCACTTGGTAGGTACTTTTCAGATTGTAAGTCGACAACAGACGATTGCAGTTGACATAGATGAAACAACCCGGGGGTTAGCCTCACTGGTGAAGAAGAGTGTCGAAATTAAGTGTCCTGGAATGGTACATGCTTACGATTCTGTCGGTTAAAACACTGACTATTTGGTACACCAGTCCCAGGAAATCCCTATCACTGAGTAAAAGTTGTATTGACTAGCAAGGCCATCGATGCTTTGAACCAAACAAGTCGTCAGTCGAGGAGCTAGTCAATACGTGTTGTGGTTTCCGTGATTGAAAGATTAATCGCAGTATGTTCTGTCTAAGAGAGCTAATAGCACTGCTGATCAGCCACTCGTGGCCAAACGGTCAGCTGTTCAACCACTAACCAGAAGGTCATGTTCTTGCAACTCTCTGAGTTTCTCGGAGAATGCTTCTTGGCTTTTCAGCATAGACTGGCTTCACTTACAGGATGAAATATCTATTGAACGAAATAAATCCAAGAATGCAGTTGTAAAGGTGCAGGTGTCCAATTAACCAGTAGATTTGGAATGCCACTTTTGGCAAGACAGCCGAGATCTCCGGAGACACGAGATAGAGCTCGATTCCATGCTATCCACGAGTGGTAGTGACACTAGTTGTAATCTCGAGAATAACGAATTGGATAAATCTTCAATATGGACAAACCATACTTTGTGTATTTATGAATATTCTTTTTACCAGATAATTCAAATTAAGTATGTCAACCTGTACAGGCTGAGGTGACGTTCTCATTAGGACTGGAAAACCCGAAAATAGTGTACGTAAAATCCAATTAGGTTGGCACAACCACTAACCCACCGCTAGGCACCACTACGCTCCCAAATAACGCAGTGGTGATGTCACCTCGATTGGTGATGAAACGTTTGCAATCAAGTTGCCCAGCTCAGCGAACAAGCCAAAGCTACCTGAGCTACGAACATTTTCCTCTATAGAAAATTAGATATTACAGCACAACATGTTGTCATTTCAGCACTACGGGTTTGAAACCCACGGAACTACGGTAGTACGGTACTTATGTTGCCCACGGATAGACTCCAACACGTACTTGCTGTGTCTTCCATCCTAACAGGTTGTAGCTTTCAGGGACAATCCACTGAACTTTAGCCCCCCAGTCCTATATCTGCCTGCAGAATTGTGCTCGAGTAAGCGTTTCTATGATTAAAGCGAGACCCTGGAATATCCTATTGAGCTTTTAGTGTGAATTTCGAGTTCTTTCAGCAGTGGCTCAACTTTATCTGAATTCTGTGAGGGATTTGTCTCCCCTGTCCTTGAAAAAGAATACTAGAAGAGACAAATCTAAGGGGCACCTAAGAGGCACTTTATCGTCAAACACTCGGTCAGCTTTCGCCCAGAACTGATTCCTTTTAAAAAGTGGTCACTCTGAAGAGAGGAAAAGTATAACCTAATTGGTAGCTTAGGGCTGTTTTCAAATGTACTTTCGTGATTATTACACTGCTAGAAAGGGCTATGTCCGAAGTAAGCAGTGCCAAATCCGGGTGCGATGTCCACATTTCGTTTACTCATTTCGCCGAAAACGAAGTGTCCCATCACTTTGCTTCTTCGAAGTAGCTTAAAGCAAATGAAGGCACTGCACTGGGCAACAGACAGTACGGTTTCTTGCAACCTCAGATCAATTAAGGTTACTGGAAAAAGTTAAGGTGACAGAAAAAATTATGATCGAACGAACTCATGTGACAGTAGTTGAGGAATGCTACCAAACATGTTGGTGAACTCGGCCAAAATTCTATAAAACATTCGTATACGCATGTACAACCCCAGTTTTCAATGATTGGTTAAACCGGTGCACATGGCGACCATGATAATACCCACACGTTTTTATCACTTCATGACGGTAAGCCGCTTGACTCCAAAAACTCGCTTGACTTCTGAATTATTTTGGTTATCACGCTTGTAAGGAATCCGTTTCCATGACAAACGCTCTATTACTGTGAGACGTAGAAAAATTTCTTTCACTTAATAAGATCACCAGTGTGTGACAACTTTAAGGGGATTACTCAGTAATGAGTGGTCCCTCCAGATTTACACGTTAAGCGGGTCCTATACTATTACGGGCTTAGTAAAAGCATCTCGGGGTTGTATTGGCTCACAGAGAAGTGAGATAACGGCGATCTGTTAGGATATCCAAAAGCTGATCACGAGAGGCTGAAACCCACTGGTGGTACAGGTTCAAATAAAGAGTCTAACATGGACAGACAAAGAGTAGCACAATTATACCGGCCCTGCGTGCTAAGAAACGTGCTGAGTTCACGGATGTCCAGTACGTGCCATGTCGCTAAAATCACTCGGGACAGGTGTCGAGATTATTAGGATGGTGGAGTGTATTTATACTTACATTGCGAAAATGATCTGTACTCACAACCCTAACAGCAAAATATGACGATACCTCCCCCATGCATCACATAGCACAAGATAATGCAGAACCAGCTTCCATTGGGGCAACTCTTCTAGATAGAATTTATGCCGGGTTAAACACACAAAAATGACAAAACAGCGGTTTGCGTCACAAACTATGGAAGGATCGAGTACCACAAAACGTGGTAGGTTACATTTGAAACAAACTGACCGGCGTTCCATGCCTGACTGCATCGCTATCTGCATTTGAACGGTTAAAAATGGAAGAAATCACGTTGGATGATGAATTGGCCCCAAGGTAATTGTACCACGATGATTTCACAGCTTTACACATGAATGGTTCTTATGTTAATCATATTTAGACAGTTTTTATGCCTTAGTGGTTTCAGATTTAGTTCTTTAAAGACTGATCAGATAGCAGTCAATTGGTGACAAATCAGGGTATCTTCATCTCTACCCAAATCAAAGCCAGTAATACTACGGTTTTATACCCCGTTATTTCATCTCACCTAAAAATTGTGCGGTTTACCGGAAATTTTCAGCAGCGAGAACGCTTCACTACTAACTGAGTTCTTCCGTTGTGCTGTAAGTTCACGGCTTGATGGAGTGGTAAGATCTACTATGGGTGATGGGCGATTTAACGCCTATAAAAAATTCATGAGGCGTCAACTTCTGATGAATCCTAACAAGAATGCGATAGCGGTACAAAATTTAAGACAACCGACTTTACCCTCTGGACAGCCTTCAGCGTGTAGTCGGATGCAAAACACCCCATTTCATGGTGTACTGAAACTGATGCAGCAAGTTATCCTCTAAAGATGGACATCCTCGGGGAAGGCCATTACTCAGAAGTGAACAGTTTGATTTGGTTCTCTGTGTTCTCAAGAAGCTAGGGCCCCTTACAGAAGGGGGTCACCTGCTAAGTACTTAAAACTTAGAAAAGAAATAAATGAGTTGTTCTCCCCACCACTTGCCGGTTAGGATGCTTGCCTTTCCACCCTTCACGCAGCCTTTAGTGGGCTGTATTTGTGCCAGATGATTGACCCTACATTCTGCATTGTAAATAGTTGTTGACGTCTTTCTAACCCTCATAAGGTGTCAACATTTCAGGACATTGGAGGGTAACAATCTACCCTTTTAGCAGCTTTACGATATGCCACCAGTCTGGCATATCGTTGGTCTGTTTGTACTGTGAGGACAAATTCTTTCACGCCATGGTGCTCTGTTTTTTTACGAATATGTTACAAAAAAAACAACCCCATTTTTCGCAAACTATCCTACTGAGTACGACTCACCTCCAGTATGTTCCCCATCTGTCCCATACTCATCGCACAAACCTGTGCTCGAAGGGAACGGATACACTAAATTATTCGGATGCAAGATTTGTGGACCCAGATTGGATGGTGGTGCATTCCTGGGGTTGGTACCCCCGAACAACGGGAAGTTTGACAAACGCAGCGGGAAGTGAGAGTCGTTTGGACCGCCAGAGTATTGTGTCTGTTGACTCAGTGATATCATGGGCAAAGTCATTGCTAATGGATCTCCGTCAAGATCGGATGTTGGTCTGTTTGTTTCAGGGGTCTGGTTGAACATGAATTGAAAAGGATTGGTGTCTGATTTCTCTCCCTCGGCATAAACTGAACTGGTCGTGTATCTTGAAAGACCCATAAACCCTGGGCATCCCGAGGAAGCATCGTTCAATAGACCGTTTAAATGTGTAGTTTGCGATGTATGTGCGGGAGGAGGTGAATTCGATTGAGGGCATGATAGATGGGCCGGAATGCCGCATGTGGAAGTAAGGTAAGGTAAAACAGGATCATGGATACCAACGTTAATTAGGGCTGGGTAGGGTTCGGCAGAGTGGACCATTGTTGGATATTTGGCTTCTGGATCATCCTGTGGCTTCTTGGGTGCGTGGGCACCGATGAATGATTTGGGGGAAGCTGGTAAGTTAGATTCACTGACCTTCAACTTTACGGGGTCCAATTTGTATTCTGATCGTAATAAAGCAGACGGTGATGCGGGATGAATCAACTGGTTAAAGGAATAAGAACCTCTTTGAATGTTCCCATTTTCTGCTGAGATCTTTCCAGTCACAGAATGTTGAAGAATTCCTGGGGTGGGAGGACGAGCATTTGAGGACAAATCTAAAGAACTTGGCTGTGTGGCAGACAAATCCATGGTTGGAGATATTGATGGGAATGACGTTGGAATTTGGGTGGAGTTCAAGTGTACTGGTGATTCCTCAGATTTTGTGGGGTTGCTTGTTCCAGTCGGGGTGCGACCGGGTGGAACTGCCCCGGTTATACTATGAGCATACAGTTGGTTATCCTGGGTCCTCTCACCAGAGTAATTAACTTGGAGCGTCGGGGTTACCGCCTCGAATTTTGTGTTGTATGAAGCAGTACTCGTGGGAACGGAAAGTAAATTTGTCTCCGGTGATAACTGATAAAAAGCACCACCTGTAAAGTCTACTTTTTCTAACGACTGTTCCAAAACAGAAGTTGGTACCAAGGCATGCTTTTGTTCCTCTGGTCTCGAATAGCCGCGTGAACGATTTTTCCCCGTGTCAGTGTACCATGGCGCATCCAAAGAGATATCGAGTGTAGGAGGATTTGCGTGAGCAACACAATTTCCTGATGCATCCATAGTGCCTCATGAGAATATCGGTGTCACGAAGCCAGTTCCAACCTGCAAAGTGTGATCGATCTTGTGTTCTTTGGTGTGAACGAAAAATCTCTGAATTTCAATACGCAGGCGAATTTTGTTGAAAAATTTGCAGAATTTCCTTTGGCATTCGTTTGCAGGGGACTCACGTGAACTTAACGGTGCAGGCACAACGTGTACCCTTCGTTTTCGGCTTGTCGTGCCGCATCTAGTCTAAGTGAGGTTAATGTGCTGATTTGATTGGCCAGACGGGCAGCTAGCCGGTGACTCTCACCCTCCCTTCATCGTAATTCGGATGCTGATTGGTGGAATGAGCCAGTGCACCGTTTAGCGGTTCAGCCTGTTTCTTCGTTCAACGAGCCAATAGGAAAGTTGCACTGTTAGCAAAGGCCAGCGGCGCATTGACTAGCGGTGCTGCATAGTGGGTAGGCCTATCGATGGACCTAATGCCTACCGCAAGGATCGTGGATATAGGATAAGCCGTGTGAACTGGCAGTGCACGACAGCAAACCAAGTGCTTCAAGAAGCATTATACTAGAACTTGGAAGACCATAGGCTCGACATGCATCGACATACGTTTCAGCTTCACTCTTGTTCCATGTTTTGCGATCGGATGTAAACAACTTCTGCCTGCTAGGTCTCAGCACACTATTCTGAATTTTTTTCGACCTGATCTATGGCACCAATACACACCAAATATGACAAACTCCATAACTGCCGAAAGCGAATAAAATAAGCGTTACTCATGTCAAACAGCTTGCGAAATTCCTCTGATAGCACCATTTTCGTTACCTGACACTTCTCAATGAATCGAATCGAGAAAAATGTTCTGACGTGCAGAAACACTTGCTATTCACAATAGATGGATTGCTTGATAAAGACTAACTTAGAATTGGGTACGAAATTTACATAAGGACCAGGGTATTTAGTCCAGACGGTCACTGATTTGCGGGAAATGTGTTGTTCGCATCCCGAACCTGTTAAATGTGACATTTTTGGATTAAGTGGACACTGTTTCAGTGTTTAGCCTCATTCCATGCCCCTTTCATTGACTATTGGTGTTGTGCAATAGTCCACGGCCAAAAAACTTTTCACCTTAGGAGCGTCTTCTAGGAATGCATCAGAAGTTTTTCAGGATTTCGGTCAGGATTACTCTTGGACTTATGATAAGTTCACGATAACCCCATACTTATGTAATATTATGCACATTAAGTGTTTATAAAAGGTTCATTTGGAAATGACAAAATGAGCGAATGCCCTAGCATTCATTACATTGAATGGTGAACCGGCTGGCAAACACCGAGGGTCACGTGTGGTTGGTATGAATATTCCAGCTGATCTGTAGATGTGGAAAAGGTGAACAAGCCCACTTAGACAGTAGCATTAACTGTCGAAAGGGCAGCTCTGCTAGTGCACAATATAACCGAGACGCTGGTATATCTGTGTGCGTTTGCGGCTTAAAGGTTAGGAGATAAATTCTCAAGTTTTATGGACACTTAACTTTACGAATGTAATCATAACCAGAACATTGCAGAAAAACAGGCATCCCTAAAGCGGTTTCGCGGACTGAGACGCTTCGTACTTTTGTGTGATTTATTAGAAATCATTTTACCAAACCGACAGTTTATTGACCTGCTGTTTATTTTGCTTGACTGAATCTCGCAGAAGACTCCAAATTCAAATTTAATAAGGCGCAAGAAAACGAATACAGATAAAATGATAATAAATAAATAAATAAATAAATAAATAAATAAATAAGCTGTTAACAGCTGAGCTACGATTGCCATTACTTGAACAGCACTATGCGTTGCAACGAATGCCTATCATCTGATGCATGAAAGGATGTCACCTAGTCCCGTGAGCTCCGAGTTTCTCTGTTATTGGTGGAGACGTTGACGAAGAAGGGAATAAGGTGTATATTAAACCTACGGAAATATGATCACAGAATAGTACTCAGCACACTTACGTATCCACATCCTTGGTTAAGCGAATGAGGCCCAAAGGCTCTGTTGTGAATGGGAGCACCCAGTTAAAACACAAAGTTGCCCTACCAGGCAGTAGTTGTCCAAGCCTCTGATTACAAACACTGGTCACAGATGAAAATCCCATCCGACGTCATAGAGCACGTCACTGAGATTAATTGGCTGTTCTTAAATTTGTAGAAGACACCAAACTGTTGGTTCTTTGAATTTGCCATGAGGTTTTACAGGTGCTTCTTTAATCACCTTCAAAATCGAAGCCACCTAGAAACATAGCACGTGGTCAAAATCCCCATCATAGCCATCCAAGCGTGCTTACCAAAAGCAGACCAGTATTTGTAGACGAACAGTTTTTCAATGCCTTTCAACTATATGAAGTTTATCAGCTGACGAACGGGAAAGTGATCACCCATCAGTCTTCATTCAGACTGATGTTCAACTTGTTCACGTGCTATCATTGACGATCCGCTATTCATCAATCTACATGAAGAACAGAACCACCGAAAAACCACGGGTTCGCATAAATCCAGTAAGTAGTGTATTGTATTAGGGAAAAGTAATCCCATCTGTTGACCTTCACCTCTGCGCAGCACACTTTGTTAGGAAGATTCCCCCGAGTCTCGGAGTTATGTAGTCTCAGTCCGTAATCGAATGTCAGGCTGTATAGAGAGGACACTTCTTTACTTTGAATGCATACGGATGATACGAAAATACTGATTGATCAGATTAAACCAAAGAATGATCCCAACTGATGAGCCTCAAACAGGGCGAAACAGGTAGCGGGTTGTCGAAAAGTTTTCACCAAACTTATGGCTAGCTTCCTTCAAGAAAGTATGCGGCAATTTCTAGAGTGTCGTACCAAATACAACATGGGGCAGCCTTTGTGAGTCATATTCAGCTGAAGGAAGCCGTTAACTGGATTCGGATGAGTCTCCCATGAAAAACAAACCGATGTGCAGGTGAGCGTATTTTAATAAGCGTTTTTCGAGAAAAATGCCACGGTTGCTTATTCTGTCTGCTAGCGCAAATTTTTTGGTGTTATATACATGATGAACCTATATATACCCATGGCAAGACACTCAGAAGTTGAGACAGAACGCGCAAAATACTGTCTTTCGGTTTTACGAAGACAGAACGCACTGCTGACTTGTACTGAACCGAAGCAAAATGGCCAATTTGAATGGCGTTAAACGCATATCATCTCCTGACCCAACATATAAAATAGCCCAAAAGAACAAACGAGTTAGAGCTGGCCAAAAGAAGTCAAGAAGCCGAAACGTGTCTGCAAATTATGGCATCAAAAGCAGTCTAATTATGCTGGAATATGCTGGAAATGGAAGGCAAGTATGAACGTTATGGCCTTTTGACAAAAAAGCACGATCCATTTCGGGGAGCAAATAAGTAATGGGTGTTCTGTGGGGATGAACGCTCCGCTCATCCCATGGACCACCCAGGAAGGTTTACTCAGAATCTATTATTTTCGAGGCTTTGGTAAGGCACTATTTTGAGGCGTATCAAAAACCGTATTCTCTGACTTCCAAAAAAGTAATTAACCCTTCCTGATTTACTGACAACTTTATACGTTGTGTAATAATACTTATTCTTTGGAAAGTTCATGTGCGACAGATTTTTTGACATTGTTGTGGATTGGTCGCACAGGTCAAAGCCAAAAAGTTCAAATGGTTTCGAACCCGAGGACTAAGTCGGGGATCCCAGGAACAGTGCAATGAAATGTGGAAAAGTCATAACAACGGTCATGTGAAGCAAAACACTCACATAAGGAGAATCAAGAGTCTGATNGGATTGTCCAAAAATCTCGGTGAATAAATCCCAACAAGCCGTGTTAAAGCGGCTAGACCACAAAGAAAGCAAAACAGGGCGATAGACAAAGCAACGGAGTGAGAGAAGCCTGCACGCAAAGTAGGATAGCAAATCGATGGACCAATAATAAAGTGCATGAAGGCAAGTTTTGAGGAAAAGCTAATTGAGCATCACTCATTTCAGCAGTGTATTCTTTTTTACCGGAACTCCGTTGTAGAACAGTTAACATGACTCACGCTTAACCAGCTGTTGTATCGTGTCTTATGCAGCTAAAAGTGCCAGGAATCTGCGCTCGAGGAATTTTTACTTGGAAGGTAAAATTGGAAATTTGTGCTGCACAGGCGTAAGATTTGTAGAATTCCTGGAAACACTGACTTGTGGTGAAATGTGCGCAGACACAGAATAATGGATAGAAAAGATATAAAGAAAGGAGGCAACCACCCCCCTCCAAAAAAGGAGTGTACCAAACCTTATGCAAACATAACCCTATCTGCAGTAGCTGCGAGAAAGATGTGTTCACAAATTACAACGGTTTGAATAGCCAATAGTGGACAGATTGCCATCTGGCATTCCCTGAAATTAGCGGTGATGATTTTATGGCCCTGTCATGAATCGATCCGACCGCCACATTGATTGACAGGGTAGAAGACTAGTGAAAAGGGCGCTTTCGCATTCCGGTATGCTACCACACGTCCCTCTGCGTGTCCCAGCGTTGTTTTAACCGATGTGTGTCTGTTGGTAAGTAGGCATGTGCGCACGCGCGCAAGCCATAAAACTGTTGACGTGGCTGATTTTAAACCCGATTTGGGTAGACAGCGCTATCGCATAGAAAGCTGATGAGCCAGTAAATAAGTAAATTTCGAAACCTGGCCTAATTGCACACATCGAAGTCAGCTAACTGTCACTTGCAAGTAGCGACCCACGAGGAACACTAGAAACAATTACATCACTGTTCACAAGTAACCATTCCTCGAATGAAGTTTGGAAGCATGAGCTATACCAGGTCGCCCTCTTTCAGTTACAAGGCGTTCACACCGCAAGCAGCAGAGAATCACCCTGTACCAACAACCGTCGATGTAGAGGAAGCGAGTGGAAGCGCCGCACGCGTGTATCTAACTTTTTTTAGACCGGTCTGTATAAATGGGAGGAATGAAAGACCGAACTTAGACGAAGATGAGAAAA